GAACTGATGGGCAGGGATGCAGGAGTAGGCACTGATGTTTTTTGCAGAGGTGGTTTTTCATTGCACTATTATATAATTCAGAGACAGAATATGAAATAAATAATTATGTCAGTTTTTTTTATATATAAAAGTTGTTTATTAATAAGTTTTAAGTTCCGAAACTTACAGCAGGTTCTAGTGGCACAGCAATTTAGTCCCATATGAAGAAGGAAAAAAATGTATGGACCCTAACCCCACCCTCTATTGAAGTGACAATTTATTGACATTTACTGTTGCATATTAAAAGAAATTAATGCCCTTACCTAATGCCCTGGTCAAATCACATGAATTTTTCACTATTTCAGCATGATTTTCTTGACGTAGGGTGTTGTGGGGATTTGTAAATGACAAATGGCCATTGTAACACAAGATTCATGTAAAGCCCCGATCAGATTACACGATTTAGGCATGATTTTCTGTAATGTGGCATAGTTCACGACAACCGACACCATGTCTGCGACGCCTCACGACACTGTCGCAGCAAGTCTAGCATGTTTAATTTTTCCCCCATCTTCACGACGAGTTCCGTCACGTGGATGACACTGTGCAATAGGAACTCATCATTTCTCAATTATATCAGTGAGTGCTGCTGTTTATGCACTCCTCAGGTAATCAAAAATAGGCTGCATGCATATTTATAGCTTTCTTATGGGTGGGTCACGGGTGGATAAGATCAGTTATTGGTTGAACAAACTTTAGCCTACCTTTTCTAAAATATTAAGGTGTTTATAGCGGAAAGTGTTTATAGCGGACTTGTTTTGAAGCGCATCACCTCAAATGATATTCATTAATCTTGTTTATTGATAACTGACCAACATAAGATACATTAACATTAAAATACAAATTATACCAAATGAAATTTGTTTCAAAAAGGTATTTTTTTCCAAGAAAATTATATGAATTATATTTTTGTTTGTGTCCCTCCGCTATACGAGCCATGGTCTTTAGCCTCCTTGTTAGAGCAACTGACTCCCATCCGGAAGGTCTCCAGTTTGGTCCCAGCTTTGAGTGAGTTGGGTGCAGTAGGACCGGCTGGGTTACGTTGGTGCTGTGATCCGGATCCGAGTGAGGTTTAGGGGGGTGAGTGTAATGGAGACCAGCTAGTAAGTGCTCTGCAGGTAAATTTCACTCCTCTAACCTTTAAAGATGCTCTAGCATCATACGCTAGAGGCCATTTTTTTAGCCTCCTTGTTAGAGCAACCGACTCCCATGCGTAAGGTCACCAGTTCGATCCCACCTCGGGGTGGGTTGGTTGGTGGAGGACCAGCGGGGTTACACTTAGGTGATTTAATATTCTCTGTCTCATTCGTGGCAAGTTCAGGCGTGGGAGTGTTTAATAAGCAATGATGGCTGGAAAATATACATTTAGATTTTAAAGAAAAAATCTTAATATTAAAAAGTTATTGTAAGTTTGATCCTAGCCTTGTCGCAATGAATGCCCTTAAATAATGTAGCTATTAGTTGTCAGCAAACATCAGTGTTTATTGAGATTTGAATGAGATAAAACATTTTTTAATTGAGATAAGAAACATTATTATAGCAACACTTGTGACTGCTTTGGGAAATAACGCTCATCGTAGATGTCTCAGGATGACTGATCACGAAGGAATGTGTAGTCTGGCACATTTATTACCCATGACATGTCAAGATTTTATCACGACAAAATTGCATAATCATATTTACTGTAGACCAAATGCGTATTTATAATAACACTGACCGCCGGGCATGTCATACACCCAGAAATACAAGATCATATACAGAAATTTGAAGGTTTGGAAGTTGGAATTTATTCAGTGTTTGTTTGGGAAATGGTGCAAAAGACAGCACGAACACCACAGAAAAAACATTGGACATGTACATAACCATTGATGAGGACGGATTGAGACTCAGCTTTCCCCTTATTCTGCTTTTATGTAGTGTTGTGTGGAGACGACGTCTCCAAGTGTCAACGTCAGAGTGAGGCTATTGTCACTGACTTCTCAGAGCAGGGTCATCTTTTTACCATCCCATTTCTGAACATGCAACAACTTCCCTCCATCTAAAGTTATAATAGACTTGACTTTTCGGTAGTCTGCAGTGGTCTCGTTGACCTACTCTCCCAGTTTGAAATTGATTTCTGTGGATTTAAAAGTGCTGGCGGTTTTAATTGTGAAAACGTCACCCTCCTTGGAGATGATGGTTGTGGGTTTGATCATGTTGGCAACTTGACGCGTGGCAAGGCCAACACCAAGGGTTTTCATGTACTCATCAATATTCTTGCTCTTCTTCAAGTTCTACCTTCCGACAAAAATGTCTGCCATGTTTGAGCTGAAGCGCAGCTGAAAATGCCACGACACTTTTATTATTTGAAGCAAAAGTCATATTTATTGTAGACCAAATGCGTATTTATAATAACACTGACCACTGGGCATGGTGTACACCTAGAAATACAAGATCATATACAGAGGTTTGGAAGTTGGAATTTATTCAGTGTTTGGGAAATAATGCAAACGACAGCATAAACACTGAGGGTTTTCATGTACTCATCGAAATTCTTGCTCTCTTTCTAGTTCCACCTGCCAACAAAAACGTCTGCCATGTTTGAGCTGAAGCGCAGCAGAGAATGCCATGACATGTCAAGATTTTATCAAGACAAAATTGCATAATCTGACATAGTGACATTTGAAAGCAACAAAAAAATCGTGCACTTGCAACTACACCTCTGGAGCTATAGTTAGAAACATGGTTCCTGGCCATGTTCTATTCCCACTTATACCCCTCTATGCCCTATTAGTTTAGAACATTCTAACATTTGGAATGATTAAAAAAAGCATTAAATTCATCTCTATTAGGTGTAATTTGCTTTCAAAGTACTTTTACATTTCAGTTTTAGCAATCTTCATGTTTACAATTGAGCTCCCTTCGCAGTGCGCCGATCTAATTTTGAACACAGCCGAGCGGATTTTATGTTACGTCTACAAAGCTGGTATATTTTTTACAGTCATTGCTGCAAAGCTTGTGAAAACAAAAAACATAGCATACGTTAATGCTTTTATTTGATAGTGGGTTGTTTATTAAGCAATGTAGCCTACTGTATTAGATATGGGTTTTTTGGTTAGAACATTTCTGCAGTGGTTTGCATGTGTCAAATTGTAAAAGTAGACTTTTTAAAAAATAAAGAATAGATAAACAATATCCTACCTAATAATAAAAATAAATAAATAAATAAATAAAGAAGAAATAATAATAATAACAATTATCATGATTAATATTATTATTAAAGTATATATTTTTTCCATTTCCTAATAAATAATAAATATTACCCTGTTTAGAGCATCATTATGGGCATTTTACATTATAGCTAATGTGGTTCAAACGATGTATTTGCGACAGAGAAACTTTGCGTTTTTGTCACTACATCATTCTTTTCCCAAACGATGCATCGAACTATAGTTCAGCCGCGCGTTACGTCGTTGTTTGGGAAACGCACCCCTGACCGGGGCTTTACATAAAAAAACACTCTACCCAACAACTTTTTCACCCAGAATGGAACGTATAACAAATGTAGCCAATGTAAATATTTAAAAACTGCATGCATGCAAACACAAACAGAATAGGCACAGTGGCCCAAAATGTAAAAGCTACTCACTCATTTTAGTTGCATTCTCCGGGCCTTTCTTTCAGCAAATTCTTGTCCCTGATGTTTAATTCACAGCTTCATGCATTCTCGATGGAAACAATAGCCAGTCCTGATAGTCTGCTCTAGAGCATGGTGCTGTCTCACCTTCGACATCAGTGTCTTTCGCACTATGTCAGCACAAAAATATAATAATAGTTTCATTTTCTCTTTCATATTTATGGCCCCAATCTTTTGTTTCTATTTGTCCATTGTTTAATGCTGTTAGCTAGCTACTAATCTCTCATCACACAGTGTTTTCCTTCTGACGGAGAAATTAGAAATTAAGGAGAAACAACAAATCACTGCTCATGACATGCATACAAAAATATATTTATTGTGGCCACGAATTAAAAACTAATTTCCTCGTTCCACTGGGTGGGCCCGCAATCAGCCCTGGTGCATACATGCCTATAGACCATTTCAATGTGGTCATGTCATTGGCCCATGCACATTTCCTGCTTGTTATCAAACTGTAACAAGAGGCAATTCAGTCATAACTTGATGTTAAAGCAGCTGTCATAACATTATTTATCAATATGTGGCTCTTTTTGGATTCTGGGAAGCTTCAGAAATTAAAAATGTGAAAACGGAAATACGTTGTGACCATTGTTTTTGTTTACATCCCTCAGAATGGTCTATACACTACGCCATTGGCATGCTTGTATATATGAGTACGTCTCATCTGTCAAAGGATGAAGAAAAATTGGATTGATATCATGACTTTTTTAAAGACTGGTATGTCCCACATATTGGGCTCTTCGCTTGATCTGTCATATTGATTTTGAATATGACAGATTAGGCTTGAGTTTCTACGCTCTTAAAAAACTCCCATCTCTATCAGAAAGTTGTTTACTCTGAAACATCTCCGAGAATAAATTAATCATGTAAGGTCAAGTATGTCCTTTGGCTGTTTGTCTAACGTGACTAATTCCATCTGTTTCTTTTTTTTTCTCCCCCTTAAGTTTGTTTTTGCGAAACAAATCACATTAATATGCAGTTCTTTCATTTGGATGCACGATAATGACCTCGTTTTCAAAAGCGAAGCGGTGCTGCACCTGGTAATTAAGTGGTAAAATTGATTGCTAGTCAAAAGGTTGTCTCAGAGGATATCAAGCACTAGATCTAAACTCAATATTATCACCCACACCATGGATGGGAGTAAATTTGGGATGAGCAATTTGTGATAATCCCAAACATCCCCCCCGCTCTTCCAAACAGATCATGACCCATTAGAAAACGACAAACGGAGCGGTCTGCTGCTGAAATTTAAAGCTGATGCTCTGAACTTTTTTCATTTTCATAGTGCCGTCTTTCTGGGGACTAGTTAACACTGCCTGGAATCTGTGCGCGATTGGGAAGAGACAGTCGCCGGTCAACATTGAAACCAGTCGCATGATTTTTGACCCCTTCCTCAACCCGCTACGACTCAATGCAGGGCAACGCAAGGTAAGTGGTAAATCAGATGAAGCTCTTTATCATATTTTCTTAAAACAACACACACACATATGCTGAGTCCCAATTTGCATACTTATTTTACGCCCTAAAAGTATGTCCTTTTTTTTTTGAAGGAAAAATATATACTTTTGAGTGTGTAAGAGAAGAGTATACAAGCTTTGGGACATACTACTTCCTCAGTTACAGATCATTGTGTTGCTTAGTTATGAGCCCTGTCAATCATCCACATCTCTGTCATATTTAATTTCCTACCTTACTGGAGACGCAGGAGCAGGATAATCTCCCATTCATGAGTTTTTAATGCAGAGAAATCTCCTCAGGTCTTTGGATAATTGTTTATTCAGAGGTTAATGTCTGAACACGTCTTTATATAAGTTCAGTATTGTTGTTGCAGATCCATTATAACACAGCATTAAAATATTTTCCAGTTGGCTAGATATTAACTAGAAAAGTAAAGTGCATAGACAAAACTTCATGGTGGTTTGAGAAAGCCTAGTCTGTAAGTTTGAAGTAGTTTTAAAGTTTAAATAGTTGCAGTAGTTTTTAAGAAGTTTGAAACAGTTGATAGATAGAATCAATTTATAATGCTAGGAAGAAAAGTACATATATGTTAGCATGTTTCTAGTATGGGTTGGCATGTTTCTCGCTCGGAGGTTATTGGGGGGTTCGGAGTGGCTTCTAACACATTGCTAGGCGGTTGCTAAGATGTTGCTTGGTGGTTGCTAAGGTTTTGCTTGGCGGTTGCTAGGTTGTTCTGAGTGGTTGCTGAGTTGTCGCTAGGCATTTGCTAATTTGTTCTGAGTGATTGCTAGGCATTCCTTGGTGGTTGCTAGGGTGTTGCTAGGCAATTTATAGGGTGTTCTGAAGGTTGCTAAGGCATTGCTAGGTGGTTGCTAAGGCATCGTTAGGTGATTGCTAAGGTGTTGCTAGGCAATTGCTAGGCTGTTCTGAATGGTTGCTAAGGCATTGCAAGGTGGTTGCTAAGTTGTTGCTATGTGGTTGTTAGGTTGTTCTGAGTGGTTGCTAGGTGTTTGCTAAGGCATTGCTAGGTGGTTGCTAAAGTGTTGTTAGGTGGTTCCTAAGGTGTTGCTAGACAGTTGCTAGGATGTTCTAAATGGTTGCTAAGACATTTCTAGGTTCTTGCTAAGCTGTTGCTAGGTGGTTGCTAGGGTGTTCTGAGTGGTTGCTAGGCGATTGCTTAAGTATTGCTTGCTAAGGTGTTGCTAGGTGGTTGCTAGGGTGTTCTGAATGGTTGCTAAGTGGTTGCTAAGGTGTTGCTAGGCAGTTGATAAGTTGTTGCTAGGGTGTTCTGAGTGGTTGGTAGGTGGTTGTTAGGGTGTTCTGAATGGTTGCTAAGGTGTTGCTAGACGGTTGCTAGGATGTTGCTAAGTAGTTACTAAGGTGTTCTATGTTGTTGCTAAGGTGTTGCAGTGGTGTTCTGAGTGGTTGCTAGGTGGTTGCTAATGTGTTTCTAGGTGGTTGCTAAGGTGTTTTGAGTAGTTGCTTGGAAGTTGCTAGCATAATTTAGCATTATTCTAGTAAGAATTTGTATGTTGCTAGCATGTTTCTAGCATAAATTAGCACATTGTTAGTAAAATTTAGTAGGAATTTGCATGTCGCTAGCATGTTTAAAGTATGAATTAGCATGTTGCTTGTATGTTTAAAGTATGAATTAGCATGTTGCTAGTATGAATAATATGTTTCTAGTATGGATTAGAATATTGTTGGTATGAATTGGTATGTTGTTAGTGTGTCCAATGTAAAGTCAATGGCAGTTTTTTGATAATGGAAGTCTATGGGACTGTTGCTAAGGTGCCGTAAGTGATTGCTAGAATGTTGCTAGTGAGTTGAAAGGCCATCAGTGATTGGCAAATTTGTTGGCAAAAAGTTATGAGGTCATAAAGTTTGATCCAATGGTAACCCTGCAGAAAAATCCAGCTTAAACCAGCCTAGGCTGGTTTTAGCTGGTCGACCAGTCTGGTTTTAGAGGGGTTTTGGCCATTTCCAGGCTGGTTTCCAGCCATTTTTAGCCTGGTCTTAGCTGGTCAGGCTGGAAACTCACCAGCTAAATCCAGCTAAAACCAGCTTGACCAGCCTGGGTTATGCTGGACATAGCTGTTTTTGGCTGGGCTCCCAGCCTGGCTAGGCTGGTCAAGCTAATTTAAACTGGTCATCTTCCAGCCTGACCAGGCTGGAAATGGCTGGAAACCAGCCTGGAAAAGGCTAAAACCCCTCTAAAACCAGCCTGGTCGACCAGCTAAAACCAGCCAACCAGCCTAGGCTGGTTTAAGCTGGATTTTTCAATAGGGAAGTCAATGTGACTTTTCAGTTTTTTCCGGGACAGTTTTCAGAAAACTAAGTCGGATCATTTGGAAAAGATATAGCAACCCGAGTCAGACCAGTTTGGAGGTTTGTTGTTAGTTTGGAGGTTGTTGCTTGAATGGTCTAGGAGGATATACATATAGATATTAGTCTCAGAAGAAGAAGAAGAAGAAGAAGGAGATGAAGACGGAAGAATAATAGGTTTATGTAGTGTAATAGTATGTTGGCTTTCTCAACCCACCATAATTAAGTCGTACAAACATTTTTACAGAAGCCTCTCTACTTGACGGTTGGTCTCACTTGTCCATCATGTTTGTAGTTTGTTTACACTTCTCACCTGCGTTTGTGGTTCTAATCGAATTCACGTGCAATGTGCAATGTGGGCAAAGTCAGCGGTTAGAGTATGGACGCTTCTACACTTTCTATTTTTACCGGAAATAGTAAAACATCCGGGAACCTTTGGCATACTCTTTTTAACTTTCTATGATTTGGGACATACTAATTCTATTATCAAATACTATTTAGGACGTATAGTATGCAAATTGGGACGCATCAACAAACTCTGACTGACATTTACAGCATAATGTTGTTCATAACATCACAAAAGAGCGATTTTTTTAACATTATTCATACCAGCTGAAGATGGACAGACACATATTATCCACCTCAGAACACTGTCCCATAATTCACTGTGGATTTTGACAAGAATGGGTCACACAGCGTAACCCCAGCTTAGCGGTCCATTTGTCAAATCTAATCACATTCTGTATTTACTTCTGCCGCCGTTGTTTAGACAGCTAGTTGTTTGTTTAGTCACTCAGCCTTAATTCACCGGATGACTTTTTATACACCTCAATTGGCCAATGAAGCAGATCCTCAATTATTTCTGCCAAGCAAAACACTGAAGCTTTCCAAATTAAGCCTTTGAAGATGCCTAATGCTTCACGACTGTTAGTTTGTTACAACGCTGCTGTAATGAGATCGCTAATTCTCTCCGGCGTGTAAAATGGCTTGCCATTTGCTTTCAGTGAGTTGCACCTGCAGTCGGTCAGCAGATTAGTGTGACTAAACTCGATTACCCGGCGTTTGATTATTGATGGTTGTATCCATGAACTATCGCTCTGACCTCTAAAGGGATTCAAGAGGATGTTGTCATACAGATCTTGAGCACGGGGGGGATTTATTCCACAGAGCAGTAGGGAGAGGAAGGAGTTAATTCCTCATTTAACATCCTGTTTTATGATTAATGCTGCTGTGCATCTGCTGGGGGAGATTAGGCGAGCTCACCATCTGTGCTGACAGCGGCTGTCACTGAAGAATTCTCCAGTGAAGCTCCGAGAGGTTATGGTTATGGATGATATACCGTAGTTCATCCACACTCAATAATACATTAGTACCCTAGACTTAGTCAGGAGCCCCAAAATAAAGTGCACTGGTGTTTTCCTCTGGAGGTTCTTCTGCTCTTATTTCAAGAGACCCAATTACATTTATGTATGCATTGCTCCTTTGAGCTTGTTATGACTGCGCTCGCTATGTGGGAGTTGCGAGTTATTCCTAGAGAAAAGACCATGGGAATCCCTAAATGTACTTGGTAAATTCAAGTCAGTTGGATTGGGCTGCGGCGTTTGTTATCAGAGGGCTGTTAAATAATAGAATTTATGCATGAGAACTCTAGGCTGTAATGGAAAAGTCTTTGGTTTCTTTTAGATGGACAGATTAAATATGTTAACTGCAAGGAGCTGCTTCTAGTGAATCCACATATGAGACTTCATTCTCATATCTTTTCAGATCAGGTAATTGTAAGATATAGATTAAAATATGAGTAAAGTTCTGAGATAAAGTTGTTGCTATGATAAAATCACAACTGTTGAATCAGAATTATTACCCCCCACCCCCCACCCCATTATTTCAACACATTTCTAAACATAATAGTTTTCATAACTCATTTTTAATAACTGATTTATTTTATCTTTGCCCTGTTGACAGTAAATAATATTTTACTAGATATTTTTAAGACAATTCTATACAGCTTAAAGTGACATTTAAAGGCTTAAATAGGCAAGTCATTGTAAATTGATGGTTTGTTTTGTAAAATATTGAAAAATAGCTTAAGGGGGCTAATAATTTTGACCTTAAAATGGTGTTAAAAATGTAAAACTGCTTTTATTCTAGATGAAATGAAACAAATAAGACTTTCTCCAGAAGAAAAAATATTATCTGACATACTGTGAAAATTTCCTTACTCTGATAAACATTGTTTAGCAAATAAATAAAAATAAAAAAAAAATGTAAAGGGGGGCTAATAATTTTGACTTCAACTGTATATGTGACCCTGGACCACAAAAAATTGTAGGATACTGAGGATATTATGATTCTAAAAACCATTAGAATATTAAGTAAAGAATATTTTATAAAATGTCCTGCAGTAAACCAAAACAAACTTTTGATTAACATGCATTTGAGTAACATGCATTGTTTAGCACTTATTTTATTTATTTTTTGACAGGGTTAAAAGTGATTTAATCCGCATTTAGACCATTGTTAATTTTTTTTAACCATCAGATTCTATATTTTTACATAGTTGGCTGGATTTTTTGGCAGGATATTCTTGTCCTATCCTAACAAAGTATACACCAATGGAAAGCTTATTTATTCAGCTTTCGGCTGTT